CTTGCTCATTTTTAAAGTTCAAGGTGTCAAGCTACACTGATTATAAACTTGTGAAATTAGGCCCCTGTGGTTTTCAAAGCCCAGTGTTATGGGGATTCATCTTCCCAGTGTGGCTCCCTCATGCCTGGGGTGCCTGGTGTGGGGTGTGCTCCTTTCCTCTCTGTGCCAATGTCATCCCTCCTTCCCATAGACAGTCCTGTGAGTCAGTTTGGTTCCTGACCATGTCTTCACCCTTGCTAACCTCTTCATTGTGGCCTCTTCTTTTACATTTAGCTGTGGAGAGTCTATTCTGCCAGTCTTTGGGTCATTTTTCTGGGTTATTTACACTGATGTGTGTGTTATTTAGGAGTACCTGTAGGACAAGGTGAGCCTAGGATCCTCCTCTTCTGACATCTTCCCTGAAAGTCTGAATTTTTTTTAAAGATGTAATCGACAAACAGACTAAGAAAAGGAGTAGATTCAGATAAGATCAGAAACAAAAGAAGAAATATTATAACCGATGCTACAGTGAGAGGGTTTGGGGTGAGGGTCATAAAAGACCACTGTGGGCAGTCATACACCAACAACTGGATAATCTTGAAGAAACAGATAAATATTTAGGAACATACAACCTACCAAGACTGAATCGGAAAAAGAAAATCTGAACAGAGCAAGAAAAGTAAGGAGATTGAAGCAGTATTCAAAAACCCAACAAAGAGAAGATCAGGACCAGGTGGTTTCACTGATGAATTCTGCCAAACATCTAAGGAAGATTAATAGTAGGAGATTATTGAAGACTTTTGAAACTTTCAAAAAATTATAAAGGAGGGACCACTTCCAAATTCATTTTATGAGGTCGGTACTATCCTGACACCAAAACCAAAGGTACTACAAAGAAAACTATAGGTCAATATCCCTGATGGGTATAGGTGCAAAAATCCTCAACAAAATACTAGCAACCAACTTTAATCATGCATTGAAAAAATCATACCATGTGAGATTTATCCCTGCAATGCAAGGATGGTTCAGCATACACAAATTAATGTGATATACTGCATTAACAGAATGAAAGATAAATATCACATGATCACCTGAATTGATGAAGAAAAGCATTTGACAAGATTTAACACTTTTTCATGATAAAATATTCAAAATACTAGAAATAAAAACTACCTCAACATAATAAAGGCCATTATGAAAAACACACAGCTAACATCATACTCAGTGATGAAAGACTGAATGTATTTCCTCTAAAATCAAAACTAAGGCAAGCATGCCCACTCTCACCACTTCTAAGCAACATAGTACTAGAAGTCCTAGCCAGAGTAATTAAGCAAGGAAAGGAAGAAATAAAATCATCTGTATTTGTAGATGACGTGATCTTATATGCAGAAAACTCTAAAGACTCCACAAAAAGTTGTTAGAACCAATAAACAAATTCAGCAAAATTGCAGCATATGTAATTAACATACAAAAATCAGATGCATTTCTGTACACTAACAACTATCCAAAAAGAAAGTTGGAAAAACAATCTGATTTAAAATAACATCCGAAAGAGTAAAATAGGAATGAACTTAATTAAGGAGGTGAAGACTTGTACATTGAAAACTATAAAACATTGCTGAAAGAAATTAAAGAAGATACAAATAAGTGAAGACATCTTGTGTTCATAGGTTAGAAGACTTAGTATTGTTAAAATGTCAATGATACCCAAAATCACCTGCAGATTCAGTGCAATACTGATCAAAACCTTACTGGCATTTTTTTAAAGTAATAGAAAAAGAAATAATTCTAATATTCACGGGGAACCACAAAGAATCCTGAACAGCCAAAACAACCTTGAGAAAGAAACACAAAGCTGGAGGTAGCACACTTCCTTATTTCAAAATATATTACAAAGCTATAGTAATTAAAACAGTATGATAGTGGCCTAAGGACAGTGGAACAGAATAGAGTGCCCAGAAATAAACCCATGCATAAATGGCCAACTGATCTTTGACTAGAGTGCCAAGAATACACATGGAGAAAGGATAGTCTTTTCAACAAATTGTGTTGGGAAAGCTGGATAGTCCTATGCAAAAGAATGAAGTTGAACCCTTGTTATATACCATATACAAAAATCAACTCAAAATGGATTAAAGACTTAAATACAAGACCTAAAACTCTGAAACTCTAGAAGAAAACTTGGGGGAAATTCTTCATGACCATGGACTTGGCTATGACACAAAAGCACAAACAACAAAAGAAAAGTTAGGTAAGTGGGTTTACACCAGACTTAAGAGTTTTTGAACAGCAAAGGAATTAACAGAGAGAACAGGTACATTATGGAATGAAAGAAAATATTTGCAAACCATATACCCAATAAGGGGTTGAATTTCAAAATACAAGAAGAACTACAACAACTGAGTTACAAAAAACCAAATAACCCAATTTAAAAATAGCAAAGGACTTGAATAGATATTTTTCCAAAGAAGACATACAGTTGACCAACAGGTATATGAAAAGATGTTCAACATCACTCATCGTCAGGGAAATGCAAATAAAACCCACCATGAGTCATTCATAATGATGAATGAATCACACCTGTTAGGGAAGGCTATTATTAAAAACCAAAGGGAAAAAAATAACCACCAAAAGATACCAAGTGTTGGGGTGCCTGGGTGGCTCAGTCGTGAAGCGTCTGCCTTTGGCTCAGGTCATGATCCCAGGGTCCTGGGATCGAGCCCCGCATTGCGCTCCCTGCTCTGTGGGAAGCCTGCTTCTCCCTCTCTCACTCCCCCTGCTTGTGTTCCTTCTCTCACTGTCTCTCTCTCTAATAAATAAAATCTTTAAAAAAAAAAAAAGATACCAAGTGTTGGCAAAGATGTAGAGAAATAATTAAAACTCTGTATACTGTTGATGGGAATTTAATACAGTGCAACTGCTATGGAAAACAGTATGGAATTCCCTCAAAAAATTAAAAATGGAACAACCATATTATCCAGCAATTCCGCTTCTGGATATATGTGCAAAAGAATTCAAAGCAAAATCTTGAAGAGATATTTACACACCCAAGTTTATTACAGCATTATTCACAATAGCCACAATATAGACACAGCCTACATTTTATCAGTGGTAAATGAATAGAGAAAATATCGCATATATATATATATATATATATATATGCAGTGGAATATTATGCAGCCTTAAAAAGGAAATTTTGTCGCATGTGATAACATGGAAAAATCTTGAGGATATTATGCTAAGTGAAATTAACCAGTTACAGAAGGACAAATATGGCATGATACCACTTCTATGAGGTATCTAGAATAGTCAAACTCAGAGAAGCAGAGAGGAGAATGGTGGTTTCCAGGGACTAGAGGAGGGGGAAATGGAGAGCTGCAATTTAACAGGTATAAAGTTTCAGTTATGCAAGACGAGTAAGTTCTAGGGATCTTCTATACCACATTGTGCCTACGGTTAACAACATTATACACTTTAAAATGTATTAAGGGCGGGCGCCTGGGTGGCTCAGTTGGTTAAGCGACTGCCTTCGGCTCAGGTCATGATCCTGGAGTTCCTGGATCGAGTCCCGCATCGGGCTCCCTGCTCGGCAGGGAGTCTGCTTCTCCCTCTG